TTCCCCAACAGGATCCTCTATGGAGATTTCAAACAGAGGTATTATTTAATTTAAGTCAGATACTGTACAATTCCAAACAAATGTTAAATAATGTCCTCCAAGATTTATTTTTTTTCTTTTCCAGATATCGCATCTTGAATCCTGCCGCCATCCCTGACGGCCAGTTCATTGACAGCAGGAAGGGAGCTGAGAAACTTCTTGGGTCTCTGGATATTGATCACAATCAGTACAAGTTTGGACATACAAAGGTATCATCTGAAGTTGTTCTGACATTGGGGAAAAGTGAAACATTTTATTTGGAGATGAAGAGGATGGCAAAAAATTAAAACACCTATTGGGGTTGTTAGGTGTTCTTCAAGGCTGGTTTGCTGGGTCTACTTGAGGAGCTAAGAGACGAGCGCCTCTCCAAAATCATCACTGCTATTCAAGCCAGATCCCGTGGTCTGTTGTCTCGTATTGAGTATCAGAAGATGGTGGAACGCAGGTAACCTTTGTGTCCAGCTGATGTCCAACGATTCAAAGATTAATGGTTTGTGATTTGTACAGTTAACTAAAGCATTCTATTATATTTAAAATGTGTATTTTAGAGAAGCATTACTAGTGATCCAATGGAATGTCCGTTCATTCATGGGGGTCAAGAATTGGCCCTGGATGAAGCTCTTCTTCAAGATCAAACCTCTGTTGAGATCTGCTGAATCAGAAAAGGAGATGGCCAACATGAAGGAAGAATTCCTGAAGCTGAAAGAGGCTTACGCAAAATCTGAGGCTCGTAGAAAGGAACTCGAGGAGAAAATGGTCTCTCTTCTTCAAGAGAAGAACGACTTGCAACTCCAAGTCCAAGCGGTGAGAATCCCACTCTACTGCCATTTTCTTTTGAACCTGTCATGAAGCTAATGAGATCAAATGTTTGTCAGGAGCAAGATAATCTTTGTGATGCTGAGGAAAGATGCGAGGGGCTGATCAAAAGCAAGATTCAGCTGGAGGGTAAATCCAAAGAGCTGTCTGAGAGACTGGAGGATGAGGAGGAGATGAATGCTGAACTGACTGCTAAGAAGAGGAAGCTGGAGGATGAGTGCTCTGAGCTGAAGAA